CCAGCTTTTGCATGTATATGAGGCAATTGAAAATGCCATGGCTTGGGCCAGGTGCACCCTAGTCCTCAAAGTGACATCTTTGCTTTTTAATACTTTAAATAGTTTTTTGCAGCAGATTTGCCCAGTGCAATACGTCGTTTGATTTCTGACTGCTGCTTTCTTGGAGGTTGATTGTGGATTCAAGTAAAGTGAAATCATTGACAACTTCAATATTTTCTTCGTTTATTATGATGTTGCTTATTGATCCAGTTGTGAGGACTTTTGTTTTCTTTATATTGAGATGTAATCCATACTGAAGGCTATAGTCTCTGATTTTCATCAGTAAGTGCTTCAAGTCCCCCTTGCTTTCAGCAAGCAAAGATGTGTCATTTACATACTGAAGGTTGTTAATGAGTCTTTCTCCAAACCTGATGCCACATTCTTCTTCATATAACCCTTCTTCTCAGATTGTTTGCTCTGTATGCAGGTTTAATAAATATAATGAAAGAATACAACCCTGATGCACACTTTGCCTGGTTTAAATCACGCAGTATCCCCTTGTTCTGTTCAAACAGCTACCTCTTGGTCTTTGTACAGGTTCTGTATGAGTAAATTTAAATGTCCTGTAATTTTCATTCTTTGCAATGTAATCCATAATTTGTTATGATCCACATAACCAAATGCCTTTGCATAAGCAATAAAACACAGGTAAACATTGTTCTGGTATTCTCTGTTTTCAGCCAAGATCCATCTGCAATTAGCAATGATATCCCTCATTTCACTTTCTCTTCTCAATCCAAATTGAATTTCTAGTAGTTCCTTTCATTGCACTGCTATAAACGTTTTTGAACTATTTTCAGCAAAATTTTAGTTGCCTGTATTATTAGTGATATTGTTTGATAATTTCCTCTTTCCGTTGGATCACCTTTCTTTAGAACGGTCACAAATATGGATCTCTTCCAGTCAGTTGACTAGGTAGCTGTCTTCCAATTTTCTTGGCATAGATGAGTGAACACTTCCAGCGCTGCATCCATTTGTTGAAACATCTCAACTGGTATTCTGTCAATTCCACAAGCTTTGTTTTTCACCAATGCCTTCAGTGCAGGTTAGACTTTTTCCTTCAATACCATTGATTTTTGGTCATATTTTACCTCCTGAAATGGTTAAATGTCGACCAATTCTTTTTGGTACAGTGACCCTGTGTATTCTTTCTGTCTTCTTTTGATGTTTCCTGCGTTGGTCAATATTTTACCCATAGAATCCTTCAATATCACAGCTTGAGCCTTAAATTTTTTCTTAGTAAAGTGTATGTATGGTACAATAAGGAAAAATGATTTATTGTAGGATCAGATTAATACACTTAGTGGAAACCATTTGATGATCTTTCAATGTATTTCTACACCAGTTGATATATCTAAACATTAGGTCCTTGTATAAAAGGTTAGTATTTGTAAGTGAAATATATAAAAAATAGTGAAGAGTATTTATGTGATGTATATAAATAATCCTCAGGGTAATGTAATTTTTATAATAAAACCCAAGAAGCATGCCTTCTAAAGGCAGATATTAGTTTGATGACACTTTTTAGGTTTTCCACATACGATAAATATTCAAATATATGTATGCATATTTACAAGTAAGATTGTAGAGAAATATTAGATTAACATTTACTTATAAAAATGACTGTTAATGATAACAGATTTTGTATCAAACAAATGGGGTATTTCATGTAGTGAAATGATTAACTTGATATTTGAGATTAACGGATTTTATGTCTCTTGTATATATCCTAGCTTCCTCCTTGACGACTTTGTTGAAACTCCCATCTCTCAACAACGAGCATCATAAAAATAAAAAAAAAACTTTGCCATTGATTGGTCCTATGGGGTTGATCTCTTGTCTGTGTTTCCCCAGATCTCAAACTGCAATTACTTTCTTTGTCTCTTTTGTCCCAGCTCAGTCTCTCCTGGGTGTCCTTGAAGCTATTTAGGATAGATATTTCAGTTTCTGAATTGTAATCTTTAAGCCTTGAATTTTATCTCTTCCTTAGAGAAACTCTGTGGTGATGTTTCTCTCAGTGAGGGTGAATTAAGTTCTTTCAGTTCCTGTTGCTATAAGAGAATGTTACTTCTATTACATTGCATGATAGCAAACACTCATGGATGAAGACAATCAATGAAGATTGGAGTTCCAGTCACGTGAAAGTGAAAAAGCTGTAACAAGGAAATAGACTAATATTATCTTTTATATCCCAGCTTTTCAGAGATTAATACACAATCATCATGTAAGTATCATCTATTGGCACTCTTTGAGGGATAATATACTTCTCTATAGAAGAAAACAGTGGACTTTTTTCTAAAATATTATTAAATTAATTGACCAGGTATGATCTTTAGATATATAGGTACTGAATTCCAAGCCTAGGTTTATTTTAGGTTTGGATAATCTCAAAATAAATTGATATATTATTGAAAATTCTGATTATTTTGTCTAAGATGCATTTAAGATAAGGCAGCCTCAGAGTGGAAAGAAATGACAGTTGGAGGCATAAAGGAACACATGCACACACAAGAATAGATGGGTAGAATTTGAATTGTGTTATTGAAAGAGTCACTTTGTCAAATTACACTCAGTTCTCTGAAATATTAATAGAATAATTGAAACTCTTTTTCCTCTGAAGGAGTACAATTCTAAACAGCTCTAAATTTTTTTTTCAGTAAAGTTAGTCTAAATCAAAATATATTTTCTTATTTCTTAAAGGATCTTCTGATTTTTTGTAATCTTGCATATATATGCTTAAAACACTTCTCCAAATAGTTATAAATAAATTCTAATAATATTTTGCTTTTATCTTGACCAAATTAACATTTATATCAACATTTTAAATTAATGTTACATTTTCACAATGTATTCTAATAAGAGTAGCTATTTTTTGTTTACATTGTTCTGCATATCTGAATGAGAAATAGTTCTTGAGTTCTCTCCAATCTTGATATCAACAATCATTAGAGGCAATGTTTGTCAAAAGTGTTATACAGCAGACAAATTGGGGTTCCTTTCTGAGGCACATGTCCCTCTCCTGAACAAAATACTTTTTGACAATTCTCTCATTTATAAAATCTTCTCTAATAAAAAGAAAATATATACTAAATTTATTCACAGTTATCAACACGTTTTGACATTGAGAAAAAATGTGCATTTTAAAGTATTATCTCAATTAGAAGATTGTGCTTTATCCACAACATAAAATAGACTATGCTAAGGATTTTAGCACTGAATTACTTTGGTGTTTAGTGAATTGGAATGTGGTGACTGAGATACCGTATTTTTATGTAGAGTTGCTATAGCAATTCACCCCACCACCAAGATAAGTAGTGCCCAAACACCAAAATGTGTCACCAGCATTTCATTCCGAGGACCGTCTATGGCAAGGAGTGCCAAACCCCTGTGGATTAAACACACTGGGAGCATGTGATGTGAGAACAAGCTAGAACACACTTCCTTTTGGCAAATGCTACAACATCAAGCCGCTGTTTATCAAGCCTTTAGATCAGTTACAGAGTTTTCTAGGGTAAGCAATAATTGATACTGTGACATGTGATATGTTTGAAATATATGAAACCATTCCGAGTTAGGAAAAAAAGAGACTAACTCTCTGAACGTGAAGGCAGAAGTGCAGGCATGAGACATGAACAAAAGTCAGGAACTGAGGCTTTAAATAATGAATACTGGACAGGGTCAAGGTTAAGACCATAGGAAGAGCACATGTACATTTGTATTTAGTCCTGGACTTTTGAGTTAGGATTTTTGTCATTCCCCTGGTTTAAGACACAAAATTTCCTTTAGATCGGGATACTGGTAAAACTATAGGTGGTTGGTAAAATTATAGCTGCACAATGTTGTACAGACACTGGCTGGGAAAAAAAATCATAAAAAGTATGATATAAATAAAATGTAATCTATGGTTAATGTTCATTTAAAAAACTCACACATATTAACATTATGGTAATGTGACTCTAAATGGGGAAAACGCTCTCTTGTTTTGTCCCCTCACTCACCAACGATTACATGTACATGCTGCACAAAAACACAAACTTTTTCTCTAGTGAGAATGGCAGTAACTATTGAGAAGCATAGATTAGCACCATAAAATGACTGGATCATATTATTTTATCATTTAACATGCATGAGGCTTTCCTACTACTTGCCAAAATCTCTGTATGTTGCGCACTTTCAGGAGAATAGCCAGGCCACTGTCAAAATAACCACATTCCAGTCCCATCTTCGACATTTATTGACACTGGCAATAATGTTGGGGTGAAACAATTAGCCAGTCTCCGCCTTATTTTCCTGAGCTCTTAAACTGGAGGTATCACAGCACTGATTGCTCCTTGACCGTACAGATAAAAATCATTAGTATGCACTATCCTCAACAAAATCAACATCACCATTTGCCAACATCTTCTCATTAAAAGAATAAGTGAGAGACTTATAAGATCTTAATATACATTAACTAACTAAGTCATCAGAATGCTCCTCAGACAGAATCATGAAACTTAGGTACCGAGAGGTTAAGTAGCTTGTCATGTAACTATAGCCAATAAGTTACAATGAGCGTACACACACTCAGAAATTCTGGATTCAGAAGCCTTGCCTTTAACCACTACATTTATCTTTGCCTCGTGAACAGTAAATACTAAATAAATGTTAACAATTTATTTAATTTCATTTACTCATCCAGTAGCTATAGACATACAATGAATCTCTAACTATGCCAAATACTTTGTACACATTGTGTCTCTTCCTCTTGATATGGTCTAGTGGACATACTTACACCACGGAAAATGGCAAGCACTACTATCAGCACCCCCTCCCTTTGGAGCTATTGTTAAACATGCATCAGCACATAACCCTAATATAAATCAATGCATTTCTGCCACTTGGAATATGAAACACTAATACTCCTCCTTATAAGTAAATCTTCAGCAGTCTTACTTCTGTGTGTTTGATTACATACACAGATCGCACTTGGTGAAGATGCCAAGTTAGAGATGATCAATCATAGAGCAGTCACTGAGTTTCTTCTTCTGGGATCCTCCACTGACCCAGGGACGCAAAACCTACATGGTACCCTGTTTCTAACGGTTTACTTGGCAGCCCTGACAGGAAATGGGCTCATCATCTTCCTCATTACTTGTGATCTTCGGTTTCACACTCCCATGTATTTCCTCTTGAAGAACTTGTCATTCATAGATTTCGGCTACATCTCTGTCACTGTTCCTAAATTTGTTCTAAACTCTCTGATGCACAGGAGCTCAATATCCTTCCTTGGGTGTGTTTTACAGGTGTTTTTTTTCGTAGTTTTTGCCTGTGCTGAATTAGCCATTCTCACAGTGATGTCCTACGACCTCTATGTGGCCATCTGCTGTCCACTGCACTATGAGGTCATCATGAACACAGGGGCCTGTGGACAAATGGTGGTGGCTTCATACATCAGTGGGGTGGTCTCTGGAGCAATGCACACTGCAGCGACATTCTCCATAACTTTTAGTTCTAATAGAATCCATCAGTTTTTCTGTGATATTCCACAAATTATTTTGATTGCAGATTCCCAATTGAACATAGGAGAACTTGGAATCACTGCACTTATTTTCAGTGCCTCACTGGTTTGTTTTGTGTTTATTGTTTATTCCTATGTTCACATTTTCTCCATAATCCAAAAGGCCTCCTCTGAGGGTAGGAACAAAGCCCTTTCTACTTGCATCCCTCTTCTGGTTGGTGTGATCTTGTTTATTCTAACTGCTTCCTTGGACTACCTGAAGCCACCGTCTAATGTGAGGTCAGTTCTTGATCTCATTTTGTCTGTGTTTTACACTGTGCTACCTCCAACATTAAACCCCATCATATACAGTCTTAGAAACAAGGAAATGAATGCAGCTCTGGGGAAAGTGTTGGGCATGGAAGTATTTAAATCAAATTAACCATATTTGGAAGGGTTAAAGAGAGGTCATTTTTCTTCAGTTCCAAAACACGTTTATTTTCAAATTTTAATCTTTATAAAATGTAGATTTGTATTAAACTGATGTAATCTTTAGGTGAATTTCGTAAGTCGCGTAGTTATCATTACAGAATGGCTTTTAGAGGCATAGAAAAAATAAAACCAGAGATATCATTGGTTACCTCTTTCACCTCTACTAACCACACGATTCTAAGTAGGATTAGATAATCTGGTGAACAAAACATATTTAGAAATATTAAGACATACAGTTCAAAAAGGCTGGCTTTCCTAATTGAAAAGTTTGCTTGAGAGGTTAGTAAAAATATTTTTTAATATAAATTATTTCAAAAAAAGTTGTACTATCAATTATTTTGATTTAAAAAAAGAACAAGTAATTGGTTTAACTTGGGCATCCACAATCCATAGAGATTCTGCACAAATCACACTAAGATTAAATTAGAAGTAAATTCATAAATTTAACTGCTTATATTTCCTAGATGATGAGTAACCTTATTGCATGGCAGACAAAAGCACCTTAAGAGGATGTATGGTGTGAAATCCTCACCCTTGATATTCGTACTCCCTACAGTTGCTCCCAGAGCAAACGTCCTCCTTGTAACTTTATGATGGATAAATTAAGTTTTCCCTTCACTTCTTAGGATAATGCTCTATATAAGTAGACATTGCAGAGTGTGTGGGGGTGAAGGGTTTCTGTCTTGTGTTCTTCCTGACATCAGCTTGCTGGCCTAACTGTACCCCTCTACAGAATGACTGTAGAATCTGTGCCATTCCACTGATAGCATATGATATTATCAAAGCATTTTCTTATAAGAACCCTGTGTTCCTCTAAGTGTTTGGTTGTGTTCAAGAAACTTCTTAGCTTTTTGTTTAGTCCAGTTTTCAAACCAAGCACTTCAATGGACAGAGTAGCAGGGGCTGGGGTCTGGGGACCATGGCTTCTGAGGGCATCTAGGTCAGTTGGAATAACAAAGTTTATTAAGAAAATGTTCTGCACCTTGCTTTGGTGAGTGGCTGCTGCCGTCTTAAAAGCTTGTGTGCAGCCATCTAAGATGCATCAACTGGTCCCAACCCACCTGGAAAAAAGAAGAATGAAGAACACCTAAGACGCAAGGAAAATATTAGCCCAAGAGATAAAAGGGCCACATGAACCAGAGACTCCATCAGCCTGAGACCAGAAGAACTAGATGGTGCCCAGGTACCCCCAATGACTGCCCTGACAGGGATCACAACAGAGAGTCCCTGATGGAGCAGTAGAAAAGTGTGGAGCAGAATTCAGATTCATGTAAAAAGACTAGACTTAATGGTCTGACTGAGACTGGAGGAACCCTCGAAACCATGGCCCCTGGATGCTCTGTTAACCTAGAACTAAAACCATTCCTGAAGCATGCTCTTCAGATGAAGATGAGAGTGTACTATACAACATAAAATAATACTTGTGGAGAGTTCCGGCAAAATGGCTCTAGGCAAAAGCACCATGCCATCCCTCCACAGCAAAGATCCGAAAAACCAAGCCAAACAGAGAATACAACAATCCTGAAACCCTAAAAGAACAAACGAAGAGATAAAGAACTCAGCCAAGCACCAAATGGAGTGAGAAAACTGACAGAGAATGGGCGAGGAGAGATTCATGCAGAGATCCCCTACCAGCTAACGCAGCGCGGATCCGCCATCTTGGACTCCTATCAGAGACCAGGAAACAGGGGGTATGAGAAAGCAGCCTCACGGAGCTTCCAGCGGGAGACAAAACAATCGGTAACTGGCGATATATGCTTTCCCACCCCCCACCCTTCTTCACCCCGATTCAGCCTCCTCTGCTTCCCATGGCCACAGTCTCTTGACCAGGAAACAGCAGCTGCTTGGATTCCACACACCCGAATGGGCGGCTCTCTGAGTGCAATTTGTTGGCTGCTGGTGTTGCTTTTTTTCCGCTTCTTTTTATTTCTTCCTTGCCTCTCCCCACCTCCCCCTCCTTTTGCTCTAGTACATCGCTCCGTGTGCCATCTTTGCTTCTTCCTGAGGGGCTACAGAGCTCCGGTAATTTGTGATATATACTTTCCCACTCTCTACCCTTCTTCACCCACACTCAGCCCCCTCCGCTTCCCATGGACACAGTCTCTTGTCCAGAAACACCAGCCCGCACTAGCTGGCTCTCTAAGTGCCATTTGTTGGCTGCTAGTGTTGCTTTTTTTTTTTTTTCCCTGCTTCTTTTGATTTCTTACTTGCCTCTCACCACCTCCCTCTCCCTTCGCTCAAGTACCTGGCTCTGTGCGCCATCTTTCCTTCTTCCTGAGAGGCTGCGGAGCTCCGTTTGAGTGTGGAGCTGCTTCCTGGTTTGGGCTGCCGTGCTGGTGGGATCCCAGGGCTTTTGTTCGTTTGTTTGTTTTGAATCGTTTGTTTGTTTTCCTTTCCTTTTCTTGAGTTGGGAGCCCTTTCTGGCCAGGCTGAGCTGTGTGGCAGGAAAACTCCCCTTCAGCTTCCACAGACATGCAGAGGGATCTTTGCGTGCATTTCTTTTTATGTTGTTTTTTTTTTTTTCTGTTTCTTTGGGGGCCTTTCTTGTTTTTTGTTTTTTTTTTTAATTGGTTTTGTTTCTTCTTCCTCTTTTTCTCTTTCTTCATTGCTCAGCTTCTCCTCTCTATATCTTCCTTCTCTTTATGTTCCCTGAATACCTGGCACTGTATACCTCTACACCTTCTAGTCAGGCTGTACTGCAACACCAGAGAGCAACTTCCCTAGACCTCATACCTGCACTTGTGGTATCCCTGGGAAATTTGCGGTTCTTTAACCTTTCTGATTCTTATTTATTCATTGTTTTCTTTTCTTCCTCCTCCCCTTTCTGTATTTTTCCATTTCATAGCCTCTCATCTCTCTACTCCAATGGCAAGCTCCCCTAGCATTCTTTTATGTTTGTAGGTTTTTGGCTCCTGTTCCTCTCTCCTCTCTCCCATATCCATCTTAGCTCCACACATAACAATCTCCCTGCTGCATCCTGTCTACCTGCACCGTGCACTTGACATCACACCACCAAGCAGCACAGGCA